CCACCACTCCCTCTGCCACCGCCGCCCCCTCCACCGCCTCCACCGCCCCCACCACCGCCTCCACCTCTGCCGCCCCCACCGCCCCTGCCTCCCCTGCCTCCCCCGCCGCTGCGGCGCCTCCTACTAGGGGCAGACGCAGCTCCTACCTCCTCAGCACGAAGGTAGTCAACAGCTGCAGCAGAGGCGACTGAGGGGAGAAGGGGGGAGGGCGAACACCCCTCAAAGAAAGGAGTGCGAGGAGTGCCACGAGAAGCGCCTACAGCGACTATGCTAGTCTCAGCTGCAAGGAGGTGCTTCTCGAGCAGGTCGACAGTGAGGGTGGTGGGGTCAAGGGCGAGAAGGAGGTCCCTGACAGCGCTAAGAGAGCCAGGGAGGCGGGTGACTATGAAGTAGAGAGTGATGTACATGGGAGGAGGGTTCTTGGTGAGAAACTCGGAGGGAAGCGCAGCACGGTAGCGAGTGTCACTAGTGCGAAGGTGAGTGACTAGGTCAGCTACTGTGGCAAAGGCGGACAGCTCTGGGAACAGGTAGGGCAGGAGAAGGCGGCCTAGAGCAGCAGTGGCCGGCGAGGAGTAACAAGCAACTACAGCGTTGTACAGTGCTTTCGCAGTCTTGTGCTGTCCGAAGTGAGCGCGTTCTGCTAACGGCAGGTGGTTGCGAACGGCTAGGCGAGCAGTAGCGTCACGAGTAAGCCACTGCGAGCGAGCTGTACTGTGAGCTGTGTCGGAAGGGGCGACAGAGGCGCCAGAAGTGAGATCAAACAGTGAAATACCGTCCTTGGAGTCGCTCAGTAAGAACAGCTCTAAGTCATCGAGCTAGGAGTCGAACTCTATCGGGCGTCCCTCCGAATCAAAGGTGAGGACGCTCAGGGTCGCCATAGCAGGCAGAGCAGCGGCCAGCAGGGCGGCGCATAGGAAGGGCAGCTCGGCTAGGCAGGTGAGCGCGCTAGCAGCAGTGCAGCAGCGAGCGGCGTGTAGCAGGGCAGGGCGCCCTGCAGGGCAGGGCGCGCGGCAGGGCAGGGCGCGCAGTAGGGCAGGGCGCGGCGCTCAGGCAGGGCGCGCGGCAGGGCAGGGCACGCGGAAAGGCAGAGCGCGCAGCAGGGCAAGGCGCGCGGCGGCGCGGCTTGCGGGCAGGGCAGGGCGCGCGGCGGTGCGGCGCGCGGGCAGGGCAGGGCGCGCGGCGGCGCGGCTCGCGGGCAGGGTAGGGTGCGCAGCGCGGCGCGCGGGCAGGGCAGGGCTCGCGGCGGCGCGGCGCGCGGGCAGGGCAGGGCGCGCTGCGGCGTGGCGCTCAGCGCGGGCTGGGCGCGGGCATGACAGCGCGCGCTGCGGCGGCGCGATGCGCGGGCAGGGCAGCGCGCGTGGCGCGGGCGGCGCGCGAGCAGGGCGGCGCGGCGCTCAGGCAGGGCGTGCGCAGCGGCGCGGCGCGCGGGCAGGGCAGGGCGCGCTGCAGCAGGCGGCGCGCGAGTCAGCAGGGTGCGCTGCAGCGAGCGGCGCGCGGGCAAAGCAATGCGCGCTGCAGCGGGCGGCGCGCGGGTAAGGCAGAGCGTGCGCAGGCAGCGCGACGCAGGGCAGGGCAAGGCAGGGCGGCGCGATCACAGCGGCGCGACGGGTGGGGTAGCGCTACTCGGTGGGCCCTAAGAAACCGGTCCTAGGCTAGGACCTGCTCTGAAACCATGTCAGAATAACGAACGAGAATGAATTGACTAACAACAGGATGGGTACAAGTACTAACCCTAATTGGGTCCACCGAGTAGCGCTACACAAAGTACAGCACATAAGTTTGACAAACCAGTCTACCTCGACGGCCCGGGAGCAGGAAGCTGTTTATGGAATTCAGGAAAACATTGGTTTTCGTGATGATATTATGTTCGATTCCATCGATTTCCTTGGTGCCTTTAACATCTCTTTTTTGGAAAAGCAGGCTACTCCGGCCTATTTTACTACTCTGCAAACGCAAGCGATTAACAACTTCAAGAAGCTGTTTATGAAGTATCGTACGCTGCGACAGCAATACATTTTCATGGAAGAGCAGAAGAAAGCAGGAATCATTCCGCATTCTATCCGCATCATCCTTTAACTTTGTCTGCCAATCCGAAGACATTCGTCAAGAGGCTGACAAATATCTTGAAGCGGCTAAGCTGGCTTACTGCATGCTCAGGACATTTTAATTTCCATGAAGAAGAAAGCTACAGAGAAAGCCTACAGTGATGCATCGGCAATTTTTTACATAGACAACATTATCAACTTGAACAAGAAATCCGATCTCGAATCCCAAGAATCCCAAGGATGCTGTGTCGCTGATTTACCTTGAGACCAACATGGCCGAAGTTCATTTGAAGCAGAAGAAGGACGACCTCGATGCTAAGAAAAAAGCTGCAGTCGACGAAGCTGAGAATCTGCCTGTTCAGCCCACTTTTCGTGAAATCGCTCGCCAGGAAGTGCAGAAAGTGCTGAAATCGTTAGCGACGAAGTCTCCTGTTAAGACAACCAGTGACAAGAAGGCTAAGATTTCTGTTTCTGGAAAGTACAATGCTCGTACTAACAAATCCGGCGTCAATGTCAGGAAATCTACTGCAAACGGCTCTAAGTCCCGCCAGGCTGCTAAGCCATCTAAGACTAGCAGTGACAAGGGTTCCCATCATAACAACAGCAAGGGTACTGCTAGCAACGGCAACAGCAAGAAGCAGAAAACTGACGAAGCTGAACGTACCGCTGTTAAGTCAGCCGGCCGATCTTACTCCAAGACAGCCATACGCAACAGCTCCAAGCCTGCTAACCGCAACGCTCCTGCTTCCACCTCGTCTCGCAAAGAACCTGCGTAAAAAAACGGGGGAAAAGGAGGCCGCGGAAAAATGACTCGGCAGTAGTGACTGATGTTCACACCTATGCACTGATACTGTTTGGACGACTTACGGAGTATCAGCTGCAATGCCGTATCACCAACCGCAGGCTCCATAACTACAGCAACCATATTTTTTCCAAACCTGGGCTTGATCTTTTGACTTTAGGACTGAAATTCATACATGTTCCTGTCATTCGCACCGTCGCTAGTCTAGAAGCCGAGGTTTCATCGTTTCTTAGGAGTGTTCGTACTATGTTTCTCTTTAATGGATCTGACTCTTCTGGTTACTCAGGGTATAAACTACCTAAACGAGAAAACTGGGACCCACCGGCAGCTTCACCTGAAGTTAAAACCGCGCTGGAGATCTTTAAGGAAGCAGCCATTAAAGAAGTTACTGGACAGGATTTCTCCACCTTGAAGCGGAAATCTAAGAATGTGCTACCGACCTTAAGACGACTTGCTAACAATCCTAACATCATTTTCAAACCTGCAGATGAAAACCTTGGCCTAACAGTTATGAGCAGAGAATATTATCAGGAGCAATGCCTGAAACACCTGCTCAACGAACAGGTCCACAAGGAATACTCTGCAGTCCGGGTCTCTAACATACTTCAAGAGCTACATACTATTCGCTCTGAATGGGACCCGCTCATTAAATCCAGGATATGGAATTCTTTCTTCGATCGGCCTAAGAATGGCTGGAAAGTGCCGACGTTATACGTGCTGCTGAAAGTTCATAAGAAAGTGCCTGCTGGAAGGCCTATTGCCGCCTGTCATTCCTGGATCATGACTAATGTGTCGCGCTGGCTGGATTCTATTCTACGGCCATTGGTGCTTAAACAGCCGACATATGTGAAGGACTCTAAAAGTCTTATTCTTGAAACTTGAGCAACGATCTTTTTCTTCTAAGCTGCTGCTGGCGTCTTATGATGTTGAGTCTTTGTACCCGTCAATTCTGCTCTGGGATGGCATCGATGATGTCGCCTATTTTTTTACAAAAGGAGCGGCACCCTCTCGCGCCAGTTATTATTCGCCTCATACGCTGGGTGATGTTCAACAGCTTTGTTTCTTTCAACGGCCATTTTTTCCGTCAGATCCAAAGCACAGCTATGGGTACTTTGGTGGCCGTTTGTTTTGCCGTGCTGTTTCTCAGTTATCTGGACATTCAGCTTCACGCATCACTCAAACTCACTCCCGCTCTTCATCTTCGCTTTATTGATGACGGGCTGATTCTCTGGGAGGGAACGAGAGCAGAGTTTGAATGTTTACGGCAACGGTTCGATTCACTTCATCCTTCTATCCGACTGACATGGGTGGTTTCAGAAACTACAATGGATTTTTTGGACCTGGCAGTTTTTAAGGGGCAGAGATTTTCAAGTTCTGGTACTCTCGACATGAAGCTGTATCAGAAGCCGATGAATCGGTACCTGTACCTGCCTTTCAAGTCCTATCACACCCGGTCTACTAAAGTCGGTTTCATTCGGAGTGAGCTGCAAAGATTTCTCTTACGCTCCTCCTCCCGGTCTGACTTCCTTAACTCCCGCGCTTTATTCTTCGCTCGTCTACGAGCTCGTGGGTACCCGGAGAAATTTCTCCTTCCAATCTTTAAGTCAGTCCTCTTCGCTAACCGTGGGGAACTACTCCAACGCGCCTCTGCAATTCACAACTCTCAAACCCGTGGCCCCCTGGTGTTGAAACTTCTGCTCAACCCGCTGGTTGACCGTTCGCGCATGGGGAACATTTTGAGTCGACTCGAAAGTCAACTCGGTATAATGTCACACGGTATTTTTTCTACGCGGAGGGCAATTCTCGCTTGGAGTTTACCAAAACGAGTTGGTAATTATCTAATTTCAGCTCATACGTGCTAGTTTACTGTAGATTTCCTTCTACTGTTTTCATCTAGCTTTCCCCCACCTTCCCTGGCCACGCGGAGGAATGCCTCGCGATTGAGCCCTATGGGTTGGTATTTAGCCTAGCTTGCTTCTCTTTTGAACCTGTGGTCTGAAGAAGGCTCGAAGAGCCAAAACTAGTTACCGCCATAATTCCTTTACACAAGGTTTTCAAAGCAAACCTTTACACACACTAAACAACAGTTTGCTAAAAGCTGCTGCTGCCACGCAAAGACCATGACTCCTGTTTGGGGTTCGATTGGACAAACCCTAACGGAACCTGAGCCCCAGCCAACTCATGAAACTATCGGAGCACGAGCTAAAAAATGAGCTCCCGCTAGTAGAACATTTCGTGGTAGACGACTCCTCTCTGGTGCTTGCATTCTCATCTCTACCAGACTCCCGCTCTTCCTCATTGTCAGGGCAGTGCTTGTCAATGAGGGCACACAGGCGGTATGCCACGTCCTTCATGTCGGGGCGGCGTGTGCCCGGCGCCTTAATGCAGTCCAGCGCCAGGTCAGCAAAGTCCACCACGGCCTCCTCACTGGCCTCCAGTTTGCTGTCCTTGAGCTCGTCAAACTCATAAGCATCCACCCTCTTCTGCGCCTGAACCAAAGGCGGAGCGAAAGGGCATAATTTATAGGAAATAGCATACCTCACCGCGAGGTAGTGCAGTAAAAAGAAAAAGGAGCAAGGAGGGTAGGTGCAAGGTAGCATGGTTGAGAGGAAATGTGGTGCAAGGGGCAGTGCCATGATTGAATCTAGCATGGGCATACCCAGTTCTTGATATGGGTTGCACGGTGAAAGGTGGGTGGCGTTCCACTCAGCAACTCCAGGAGCACAGGGAGACATGAAAATGGCTGGACAAAACGACGACCAGCAGCACAAACATCCCTGCGAAAGATACATTTCGCACACATAAAAGGCATCAGCGTATTCCAGGTATCTTGTGAATTGGCAGAGCGACATCCATCCCCTCGCACCTGAAGACATCGCTCTTGGACGTGATGACGTTGGAGCGGTTGTAGTCTGGATCCACATAGCCGGGTGTGCCCGCCACTCTGGTCGCATCAGCATCGCCGTGAGTGAGCAGCTTGAGCAGCCCAAAGTCTGCGACCTTGGCGTGCATGTCGGCTGACACGAGGATGTTGGCGGGCTTGATGTCGCGGTGTATGATGGGCGTCGCAAACCCATGCAGGTACGCCAGGCCCTCCGCTGCTCCTTGCGCCAGGCGCAGCCTTTGGCGCAGCCAGAGAGGGTCTGGAAGCAAGACCACGAGAGGCAGGCATGAAGTGTGTTTTTTTCATTTTAGCAACTTTTGACATTCTCTGCTAAAGCACACATGGGTAGCAACTTGGTGAGTTGGCGCGCGGGCAACTGACTCTTTGTCTTGTAGAGGTGGTGGTGCAGGTCTCGGTTGGCCACGAACTCGTACACGAGGATCTGCTCCTGCTTGCCCGTCTCCACGTTCTGGTCCTGGCAGAAGCCCAGCAGGCGCACCAGATTCACATGGTGCAGCGTTGCCATGGTGCGCACCTGCATACGCCGCACAGCACACAGTGGTAAGGGAAGACAGAACTCGAGCTGCAGGGTCTGACAGTGCTTGCTTTGCTTCCACTACAGCAGAAGCAGATGAGCATTCCAAAGAGCACATTGGACCCACAGTGCCACGGTGCTGTGGCTGCATGGCGAGAGAAGAGCCATGGTGCAGGCAGCAAGGCAGAGGCTGACCTCGGTCTCAAAGTCGTTGGTCATGACAGTGGAGCGCTTCACTGCCCACAGCAGCCCCTGCGGCGAGCACCCCTTGTACACGATTCCAAACCCGCCCTTCCCCAGCACATTGTCACTCGCCCAGTTGTCCGTGGCCTTCACCATCTGCTGCAGTGAGAACTGGTCGCACAGGTCCAGCCCTTTCCACTTCCCTACGCACCCACAGAACACGGTGAGGTGGGGTGCATGGTGGGAGCCCATGCAGCAACGCGCATTCAGCAAGGGCTTGAGCGAGTGGGCAGAGTAGGGGTGCAGAGGTGGGGGCGGCAGGGAGGTTGGGCTGTAGTGCAGGCATGGTGGCACGGCGAGGGTGCAGGGCGACCGGGAAAGAGGTGCAAGAATGGGAGGGATGACATAGTTGGTGTTCTTACTTTGTGCGTGGGGCCACAGTAGCCAGAGTGGACCCGGCAAAGCACCCCACAGCAATGCCCACAATAACACCTAATGACAGCCGTGGTGGTGGCATTGACGATGGCGCACGTGGAGCCGTTGCCCACATCCACTGGGGAGTACCCGCCATCGCACGCGCACGTGAAGTTGCCGCGGGCGCCTGGTGCAGGCGGCACGCACGCCCCACGGCCGTCACACGGGCCGTTGTCCGTGATGCTGCAGAACGCCTGGCAGGCTGCCGTGCTGCGCTGAGTGGCGTTGGACGGACACTTGACGTCCCAATTCAGCGTCAGATAGTTGCCCGCGAGACTCCCCCTGGCGCCCTTGCCTGCCCCCGCCACTGAGTAGTCGCGCTGGCCTCCGAAGGCAGTGTCGCTGCACTTCCCCGCCACGCGCACGCTGCTGTCGTCCAGCTGCAGCTAGTTGCGCTGGGTGAAAGAGCGCGTTCTCAGAGGGCGGGAGGCGGGCCACTTGCAGCACCGGCTGCATCTCGTATCCGGGGAAGAGGACCATTGGAGGCATGCGCTTGCTCCACCCTTCCTGTTGCGGGTGGGGTTGTGAGGGGGGGGGTCACGAAAGGGAGGGTAATGAACATAGGGCAGATATATTGGGCAACTAAAGATCGGCTGCATTTTGAATCCTGGGAGGAAGACTATTGGGGGCATGTGCTTGAGGAGCTGTGTGATCTTCATGCAGTCATTCCTCAGCTCTCGCACATCTTCCCTGACATCACTGACTCACCCTCCCTCAACTTCGCGGAGAACCTGACCATCCCTATCCCTCTCACCGTCCAAGAGGCTCTCTCAGGCCCTCATGCTGCCGAATGGCGTGCTGCCATGGAAGCGGAGATTGCAGCATTCACCCGCAACCACTCCTTCGACGACGAGACTCCACCTCCAGGAGTCAACATCGTCGGGGGCAAGTGGTTGTTCCGTGTAAAACAGCTCCCAGACGAGGCCCCGGTGTTCAAAGCGCATTACGTAGCCAAGGGTTTCACCCAACAGCAGTACCGCGACTTCTTCCTAACCTTCTCCCCCACATCCAAACCTCCCACCATTCGTACGCTCATGGATGTCGCAGCTCGAGAAGACTTTGAGATCAAATCCATGGATGCCTCATCCACCTTCCTACAAGGTCATCTCAAGGAGACAGTGTTCATGGACAGACCTGAAGGCTTCCCAGGAGAATTCCCTCCCAACACTCTCTGGAAGCTGAATTGCCCCGTCTACGACCTTAAGCAAGCCCCTCGCGAATGGCACAACAAGGTGAAAGAAGTCCTCCTCTCCCTGGACTTCCATCCTTCAACTGCTGACCCGACTCTCTTCATCCGCCGTCATTCTGAGCCATTCTATATCCCGGTCTACGTGGATGATTTCATCCTCGTTGCCAAGGACTCGGCCCAGATGACCTCTGTCCAGGCAGTCCTGAGCAAGGCCCTCCAGATGAAAGACCTCGGTGACCTCAAGCACTACCTGGGGATGGAGATCACTCGTGATCGCCAGGCTCGCACCATTTCACTCTCCCAGGAGTTCTACATCGACAATGTGCTCAAGCGGTTTGAGATGGAGCTGTGCACCCCTGTTGCCACCCCGCTGCCGCTGCAACACCTCCTCACAGCTCCAGCTGTACCCACACCAGAGGCCTGCTCTGAGCCATACCCGGAGCTTGTTGGGTCCCTCATGTACGCCATGATGTGCACCCGACCGGACTTGGCCTATCCTGTCAGTGTCCTCTCTCGTTACGTGGCCCCTGGACGCTTCACTGATCTTCACTGGAAGGCGGCGAAGCGGGTGCTGCGCTATCTTCAGGGCACCAAGTCTCACGTTCTCACACTCGGTGGGCTCTCCCCTCCTCGCCTGGAAGGTTACACCGACTCCTCCTGGGCTGATGACCAGACCGACCAACGCTCCTCTCAGGGGTACTGCTTCACCCTTGGGAGCGGAATTGTCAGTTGGCGCTCCACCAGGTCGTCTGCATTCTCCCTCTCCTCCTGTGAGGCAGAGCTCTACGCAGGCACCATGGCTGCTCAGGAGGCCCGTTGGCTCACCTTCCTACTCCAGGAGCTTGGTTTCCCACAGTCCGCCCCCACCCTCTGGTGTGACAACCAGAGTACCATCCACATCTCTCAAGACCCTGTGTATCACACCCGCACCAAGCATATTGAACTTCGGCACTTCTTCATCCGTGACCTTGTCCAACAGGAGCAGCTGAAAGTGGAATACGTTGCATCTGACTGCAACCTGGCTGATCTGTTCACCAAGTCCCTTGGGAAAGTTCCCCACCACCGTCTCCTAGGCGCCATGGGGCTCTGTGCACCACCCCCTCTACCCTGGGTTCGATTGATGCCTATGGGGGGGTGTTAGTGTTAGCCTTCAATCTCACAATTTGTACTTTGTATTTTCTATATCCTAGAATAGTGTAGTTTGCACATTGTGTTTGGTTGGGTGTACACCTACATCCCAACCAAACCCAAATGTAATCTCCAAGCAATCTCCAACCCACCAATTGGAGATTGCCTTGGGATTACCCCCAATCCCTAGGGATTGCCCCCGATTCCCTTCCCCATCCATTCCATCCCCTTCTTGGATGTACTTAAAGAGCTTCAAGCTCATTACTAATTCATCGCTTCTAAGCCTAAGTTCTCACACACGGGTCGGGCCGGGCCCTGCCCGGGTCGGGCCACGCCGGGCCCTGCAAAAATCCGGGCCGGGCCAGGCCCGGCCCGACCCGGGCCGAATCAGGGAGATTGTGGCCCGGGCCCGGGGATATGGTACTCGGGCCATGATGGCCCTACCCGGGCCATGATGGCCCTACCCAGGCCATGCAGGGCCCGACCCAGGCTGGGCCCGGCCCGGCCCGGGTGAACATTCATTACTGTAGCTCATGTTTTAGGGCCTGCTTTTAATTCCCACTGCCTCGTTTGCCTGTCCACACCCTAGATCCAACGAAAAGCATGTTTGCATGTGGCATTACTGATGGCGCATGACATGGGAGAGGCGGTAAAGTGGCTGCAGATCAAGGGATTGTTGCCACACCCGACCAGGGCTGTCCATGATGATAATCAGTCTTTATGGAAGGCAAACTAGTCTGTATCGTTGGCATATCAATGTACTAATGCCTGTATACTGTTTCGCGCAGCTCATATTTGACCCCCGCGACAAATTGTCGAGGGGGTCAAAACGCCGGGCTATGCCCGGCCCGGCCCGAAATTGGCGGGCCAATGTCGGGCTCCCGACGGCCCGGCGGGCCAGCCTGGATTTTTGCTCATCCCTAGAGACGGGCAAACGCACGTACGGATGGGGCCACATGCTGGTGAAGCATATTCTTACATTGTTGCCTCTTTCCTCGCCCCTCACGTGCTCTCTTCCCCGTATCCATTCGATATGTGGCTGACACGCCGTGGTGCAGACGAAAAACACGACTTTCCAAACTTCTCTTGCCCCCATCTATCCCCTGCCTAGCCATTATCAGCACACTTCCCGTGGACAATGTCCTGCCATTCTCGACTTGGTTGCAATTTCAGGGATTTTGCTTCCCAGTACAGTTAATTGCTCCTATCTGCTGCTCGTTGCCATGCAAACTTGAGCTTCCTTTATCTCTCGCATGCTGTTTATGCTCATTGTGGCAGAGGTCTTTCGGAAAATCAGCTCTCTGGTGAAATTCCCACTGCAATAGGCAACCTTTCAAACCTGAATAACCTGTAAGCCCCTTTGCTTAGCTGTGTTTCCCTTTCTGCGCTTCTCTTCCACTTTGTATCATGCACATAAGCAACGTAGATTGAGTATAGTCTGTAAGAACTTGAGCTAAATTCCATGAATTAGATAATGAGCTCAAGCTACATCAGGAATGGCTTGGAATGAATAAGCAAACCGATCTCAAACCGGCTGAAATCTCCAATTGGTGAAATCAGCGGAAGTTTTTGATCCCTAAACAGAATGTTAAGATTCTGGCTCACGTTTGGGTAAGGTTGGGATGGACATAAGCATCAAACATGACTTCCATTCGGTTTGACCGAACTGGTTTCTCCACAGGTCGAACCAAACCGCAGCATCTCATTCGAGCAGTTCGACGCATTACCTTACCTCCTAGGCAGCACCTCGTACTCACCCAAGCAAACCACACACCCACCTACTTGCATATGGATGTGGTGTGAGGTTTAGGGTTCAGTTTAGGGCAAGTTTTATGCTGTTTTTACAGCATTCCGTTTAGGGTTTAGGTCCATCTACATGACTTAGGCGTGTAGGGCAGTTAAAGGCAAATTAGGGGCTGTTTGTCGAGATTTTTGTTCAATATGGCCACAGCACGGGGAGCAGGCGATCAGAACGTGAGAGAATGGCCAGGTCCAATAGTTGGTGGGGAGCCGGTTGTTCCCGCGTGACCCCGTCGTCGGCGATTCTGTTCGTGCTTGGGTCAATTCTGACTGTTTGTACATACATACCTCGAACCTCGCGTTTGTTTGTTTGTTTGTTTTTTTTTTTTTTTTTTTTTTTGAAATGAACAAGTTCGTTTTGACAAGGAAAGAAGTTTGACAATGCTTGGGTGAACCTGTTTGGGATGTTGGTGTGTTGCTTTTGCCGCTATTTTGTCTTTGCCTTTTCTCTTCCCTTTCCTGTGCTCAATCAAAATTATGAGGTTTCTTAGGGCAAGCAAGGAGCACGTCTCTCCTCCTCCTGTCCCTTTCTATCCCCTGCGATTGTCAACGCACACCCTTCAGACAAAGTCCATTGCTCAGCGCAGCATTTCATCCTTCTGCTGCATTTTCTGTGATTTTGCCTCCCAATGGAGTTGCTTGCTCCTATCATTTCTCGTTTTCATGCAGTCTTCAGCTCCCTGTATCGACCGCATACATGCCCATTCGTGTTCATTGTTGCAGATATCTTCAGTACAATCAGCTCACCGGCTCAATCCCCACTGCAATCTGCACCCTTACAAACCTGAAACACCTGTAAGCACGCATGAGCAAGTATGGAACCCGAACCGGTTCAGGCCAAACCTTGTCGAACCGGTGGGCGTAGTCGAAATGGGCCAGCATAAACAGTTTGTCGAAAAGCAGACCCAATGTGCATAATGTGCACAAGGAGGAGCTGGTTCAGTAATGCCTGAAAAATGATCCACAAACAGTTAAGAACCAAAGTGCAGGATGCTATGTATACATAAGCTGAAATAGCTAAAGTGAAAGGAGCTGGTTTGGAGAGATGCAGCGCCACAAGGAGTTGTGAAAAGCTCACTGTGGCGACCTGGCTGGATTCACATGCAACACTCACATGTTCGACCCAAATACCTGTACGAGCCGAACGTGTTTTTTTCGACGCGGCTCAACTAGAGTCGAACCTAACCGAATTGTTCGACTCGAACAATTACATCTTGTAGCTTACGCGTTTGAGTCAAACAATCTCGAGCAAACAAGAATCCCTGTTATGTTCGACTCGAACATGGTTCGATCTTTGCCCATGCCTGGATGCAGGTCAACTCGGGTCACGTCGGGTCGG